GAATAAGTATGCCGAAACATGTTTACGATAAAAAAAACTCGTCGTTCATTTAAAATGTCTGATATCCATCGTGCTTTTAAGAAATTATGGAAATATCATACACGACTTGGCACATAAATACAAAGGGAAGGTTTCCCTGTCCGACTTTCGATCACTTGAGAAGCTATCAACGAAGAAACGCAAAGCCGATCTCGATGTGAATTTCTTGAGGGATTGTCAGTCATTCGAAGTTTTTCCGAAATTTATTTTCTTCCTCTTCCAAATGTTAATGCCCAGGATGTCCATGCGATTCGTAAGCGATTGCTTCGCTCTGCTGTATTAAAACGGTCAAAAGAAAAGAGGAAACTTGAGAATGATATGGACAAGATATCATCGAAACTCAAAGCAATACTAAATACAGTCGACTGGCACATTCTAGAAAAGGCACTAGCTAAGACTATTACGAAAAAGATAAACACACTCTTATGTAACCACAGAAAGAAGTTAAAGAATCTCACACGTAACACAACGCTACCTTTCACGCGCAGAGAAACCGTCACAAATCTGTCTTCACATAAACTAAAACCTGATGAACTCGACCTACTCAAGAACGGACTATACTTCTCCATAAGACCAGGGGCGGATCTAGGCTGGTGCAACTGATGCGAGTGCATCAGTCATAAAATTGAATAGTTAATCTTTCACAACATATTATAACTTACAATCAATACGAGCAAAATGCAAGAAATATATCAGATTGGAACGTTTATAGTTTCTAAATGCTTTAAATACCTTAACACTGACAATATATTGACAATAAATGTACATTGATGATTGAGAAATATTGTTAAAAACCTTCGTCGATTGTTTACATGTGAGTATCATTTTGATTACAGCCGCATAATTAAAAAATGCGTCGCTAAATATGGCGTTTTTATGTGTCGAAATTTTTAGCGAAAATTTGTTTCATCATCCAGCTACACTGAGCTGAATTTCTATTACTACGTCACGGTGGCTAGATAGTGAATCACTCATTGAGTTCTATAATAACTGGAGGGGAAACGTCAACAAAATTAGTATAAATTATTAGCGCGCGGCCGCGTGGTCAAAAACATGGCGGATTTTGGTGGTCAAAGTCAGCGGAGAGACGCGGGCTCATGAAATAAAATTTTTGTCGCCCACCCTGATTTGACCACCACGATTGCGAGTATAGAAAATATCAAAACTATTTATTTTCCCAACATAAACACTTTTTTAAAACTTTATTTATTAAACTGCCAACTTTTGTGGTTTGCGAATGCTGAAATAGCGACAGAAAAGGGAACATTTCTTGACTCCGGTAAGTAGCACAGTATTAGTTTTACTATTTTGTTTTTAACACGATACTTGAAGAGTGTTTCTACAACTAAGTTTTAATTTAAAGTTATTTTGGAACTGGTCTTGTTTGTTCTTCACTTAATCGCTCGCCAGACGTGGCGAAGCTGTCAATTTTTATCGAGTTTTGCATCCATCTTGTATCATGATCAAGGCATCAAGCTAAACTCTCCTGATTTGAATTGAGTTTACCTCCCAAAAATGGGGCATAATTTGTTCATGTTTTTTTTTGAAAGATGAAGGGAAAGTTTACAACAGAGTTGTGTTGAAATTGAATGCAGTGCCATGCAAAATTAATGAGAACTATGGTATATGTTGTATAATAAAAATAACTATTAAACTGTTTGCCTGCTCAATTTGACTGACTGTATGGTGTAGACAATTATAATGAGATTGGAAAGTTGGATTTATGCAAACAATTTTAAAGTACTACTTAGCGTTTCTGTAAATGAAGTATTTATTGTTATAGTAAACAGGTTAATACTTCAAAACCAAGATGAAAGTAGTGTGTTGAACAATGTGCTAAAATTTGTTTCTACCTTGAAATTTTTGTTCAACAGTAGCTTATGATTATATCATTAATATGCATGAAAATTAAACATATTATTGTCTCATCTCATTAAATCCATACTTGGTATGATTCCAGGTGATCCACAAATTCACATCAGATGCATTGGTTACAATGAAGTTGAATGTAGAAGAAGCAAAAATAGATGGCAAAGAAATTCTTTGTGTCTTATGAAGAATTAGTAGAAGTCAATAAAAAGAATTCTCTAAACAAATTGTGAACAAATTTAAATTTGCTCATGGTCAAGCAACCTAGTCAAAGAAGCAAAGTCTGTCTTCAACATGTGACCTTTCCAATTATTTAGTTTCTTTGTACAAAATACTATTTTCGAGAAACTTGATTTGTAAGTCTTTCATTAATATTTTTTTACCAAGAGATAAAAGGAACTAATTCAAAGGCTTGATGTAAAATACAAAGATTTAACAAGTTGTTTATCATTTAATTCCCAAATGTTAGTTTGTACATATAAATAATTAGTATTGGTAGCTGTAAGTTGTTTAAGCAAAACAGAAGAGTAGTAGTGCTCGAAGGGGCTAGCATTTTTGAAAAATTATATCTTGTTCATGACATATATTACACAATTCCAAAAAAACTGTAAGTAATGCACAATAATATCTATAGAACTTGATAAATTTCTTCACCTACACTGTCAAATAACTATTTTGCCTTCATGCAGCAATAGACAGTGTTTTTGGCAGAGAAACCAATGCACTTTAGTTTCCAAGTTTGTAATTTCAATGGAAAATTAATGTAGTTCTGTTCAGTAATAGATCCAAGATTCTGCCAAGCTGTTTACAAAATAGAAATTACCAAGCAACAGTGTCATGGTGTTTTGAATTTTTTTCTTTTTTGTAGCTCTTCTAGTTCAACATACTTTCTTTATGAGTTTTCAGTGGATTTATCAGGTAATGACAATACACTTATGATACGTATCCATGGTAAACTTTCAGTTGACTTATGTCGTAGGACTGAAGCAAACATTTTCTCGCTTCCTTAGGAGCATTTTTACACAGATTTATCCATTTGAAGCAAGAAAAATAGGTGCACCAAACTGTTTACAAACAGTCAAACACACAAAAGCATGAAATAATGTATAAGTTTGACGAGATTGACAGGTCTAGTAAAGAATGCCGATTGATTTTTACTTTTAAAAGGCTAAAATGTCATAAAATAACTTAAATGTTACATCCAAAATATGCGTTTCTCTACCGTCGATCTTCTTTACTTTGATGTGTGTGTGTACTGTGTTTTTCACGCAATGCTGAAGCATTATTTTCACATGATATGCTGTCGGTATCGTAATTGTTTTTTTCTCACTTGTTTTCGTTCATACAAACAGTATTAGAAATCAGGAGGGAGTGAATATTGAAAAAAAATTTTAAAGTGGAAGTTTTGACCACCAAAATCCGCCATTACCGCCATGTTTTTGACCACGGGGTCCAGGCCCCTTTGCCCCTTCAGGTTTTATAGAGCTCAATGGAATCACTGCGTCACGGTGGGGAAAAAGTGCACCAGTGAACTCCATATATATATCTGGAATGATAACGACAATACATTTTATAGATATAAAATTGAAGCCAAAGTCCTAGTCTCTTGCGCGGTTTGTACGTCAGTTCCAGTCCTTCAAAGTCGAATGTTGACGCGGTTTGTACGTCAGTTTCATTCCCCTGAGTGCCAAACATAGACGGCCAATATAAAACCAATATAAATTTGAATACAAATTGCGAAAGCATAAACATATAAACAACATCACGACAAACAACACACGAGGCCAAATCTTCGCTAAAGGTTGTTTTTTACAGCTGAAACTTTACTACAGTGAGTTCGTTGTAACTTACAACTTATAACGACGAAAAGCCAACTGAAAATTACACTGTATGCTAAAAAGACAATACAATAGAAAATATGACGAGAAAATGTTCAAGCATAAATTTTTCTTTCGTCGGAAGGTAAATTTTCAAACGGTGTCAGACAGTGTTTGTCTTTTTTTGTCATTTCAGTGGATTTAAAGATCTGTTTTTCCGAAGAAAAAAGAAACTTGAATATCTAGTTTCATAAAAAATATTGAGTCCATAACTCGCATTTTTACTTTTTACAGAGCGATTGTATTTTTCGTCGATCTTGATAGTGCTTGAAATACTAAATGATTGTCATCTCGATATCAATAATTGAATATCCTTAAAGACATGTTTAAATAGATCGTCCAGGTTGAGTTTTGTTGTTGTTGACTGACGTTTCGACAACCTTAGCGGTCAAAAAAATGACTCTGAAGATGACTACCGCTAAGGTTGTCGAAACGTCAGTCAACAACAACAAAAACAGTCCTTCTCAGGACTATACCAACCTGGACGATCTACATTTACAAACATGTAACGATACTCCCGGATTCAAACTATTTACCTTAATGGCTTTGATATGTTTTAAAGGAAAACCGCAGCGTAAGAGCAGATCGACTAAGTTCACCTCACCTTGCTTCTCGATTTATCACTTTCATTCACTTTCCGTGAACCTTTTCATTCCAAAAATTTCGTTATTTTTACGCTCTGATCATGATCCGAACTCTACCATTACCAAGGGACAAATGATTAAAAAAAATTAAAATGAACACGCGAGAGACTAGAGCCTGACGTGTAATGACGAATGATGACGACAAATATTTTTTTGGCTTCAATTTTTGGCTTCGGTTATCATTCCAGTTATTCAAATGTCGAGTTCACTGAAGTGCACCAGTTGGTGCAACAGTCCCGAGTCTCTTTGGCCGAGTGAACCACCTAAATGTCACGAATTTCATTGTTTTTTAGCCTACGTCACGGTGGGAAATCGCTGCTGACTGTTGCACTTAAGCCCACGAACACCAATATTTCATTCTGACTGGTGCACTTGAGCCAGCGTTATAAATCTTCAAACCTTCAAAATTATAATTACATGACTATGGCATTTGGCTTATTTATATCTTGAAGTCATCATGGCTGAAAGTAGGCATATATACGATTTTTGCTCATTGATTCAAGAGAGTAAAACCAGCGAGATTTCTTCTGTAAGAAAGGATTATGAAGCAAAAGTCTCTGCTCCAATTCCGACTAAAACAGACCTGTTTCGAAAAGGAAAGCTGGCGAGAGATCTTAACGCAGAGTTGATTATCCCTAACCATATGGGAGATAATTGGCGGGCTTTAAAGTGGTTCTATGACGAAAACTTAACGTTAAAAAATCATCGATTTTAGCATTCAATAGTTTAAACACATATCAATTATTGCTTTCGTAAAATGTAAGCAAAAATAATAATATAACGAGGGAGTTATGAACATTTGAAATGTCTAATTTTCATGTCCGCCATTAAAAACGGCCATTTTGAATATATGTAATCAGAGCCCTCTATATTATAAGAGTTGGGACAAACGGTCTGGGGCGAGCGCGGAGCCGCCATTTTGGTTCCTACTTGCAAAGTGAAACTATAATAATACTATTGGAAATTGGGTTTATATGCAAAAGAAGAAAGCAATTTAAGCTTATTCCATGGTAGTATCAAATATATTAGGAATAATAGCAAGCTCTTTTTTTTAACGATTTGCGGCAGACCTGATTTAATTTCATTGGTTTGAGCTTCGTTTGCGGTTTACTAGTTCGTGCTTCAAATTGATCGTGACCCATTGTAAGAAGTATTTTTCGTACGTGAACGTGTTTTCTCGGCTTATGTTCCGACTCTGTAACAAGTTTTCAAGATCTTTAAGCTTGGTGGCAAGCGGCAATGTTATCCTGGCATCAGTGTTATCAAATACTTGGACAAGACTTTGTTCGAAACTTTGAATCATAGTAATCATGCAGATTTGGTCCGGAGAGATTTGTGTTCAAGATTTGTAACAATTTAATGGTAGTGAGTGATTTATGCCCCCCCAATTTAATCCAAGCATGATATTTTTTATTCTGAAAGATCACAAAATTTTCTTGCTCAGCAGAAAATGACAGACTTTTTTACTTTTTAGTTATTGAAATATGCAATGATTTGACCAAGATGAATTTGACCTTAAACGTTTTATTCCTGTATATGAAGTTATTTCGCCTTTATCACTTTATAAAGTATTAAAGTTTATTTCTAATAAAGTTTATTAGGGATTCTGCTGAAAATTTTGGTGAAGCATTTCTTTAAACCGTTTGTTCAAATTCGCTGGCAATACAAGGCATAGAATTTGAACCGTTTAAAGAACCGTTGAACTGTTTATTTTCATATTATGGGCATAGAATTTGAACCGTTTGTTCAAATTCTATGCCTTGTATTGCCAGTGAAATATATATATCAAAAGCTAGCAGCACCTAAATATATATCAGAAAGCCGGCAATATTTTAATATATATGAGAAAGGCAGCAACAGTTGTAATATACATTAAAAGCCCAAATAGCTGAAATTATGGAGATATGCCTCTGTGATCTTATAAACCAAAACCTACAATTAAAATATCATCAACAAGTCTAGAAGAGAAGTAATGTTCTACTTTGAGCTACAGAAGTAGGGTACATTTGTACAATTCAATAACAAAAATATATTGTACTCAGCTGTTTCATTGAATATCCTAATTATAATTACTTCATTTTTAAATGATGAACTAAAAATACAAAATACAACATGGAAAATCATAAGAGTTTCTGTGATTTGGTGTAGTTGTTTTAGTATGGAAGTGGCTGAGAATTGAGAGGTTTGTAGATTGACCAATTTCAGAACATAATGAGAAATCATCTTCGATTAAAAAACAAGCTTTGGAGTAAGAAAACTATTGAAACTGCATCAGCACGAACTTTGCAATGTTATTTGGCCCAAAAATGTTTCTCTACTTGAGTCAGTTCATTGAACCTTATATCAAAAGCAGTTCAGCACAACAATCACCATACGCAATCAAATTTCGTAAGTTCGACGTAAACGCATTTCTTTCATTTTTTTCGTAATCCTCGATTTATGCGATATGTAATGACATTTAGTAGCCTTCAACAATCAGTTATTACACACTTATCCATAAAAAAACGCAATATTATCTCAAAATACTGTATTACTAGCAGCAATTGTTATATAAACACAAGCTAAAATTTCAAAACTAGGAACCAAAATGGCGGAAATTGATCAGGTGATCAATATTGCCCAATCAACGTAAGCTAAACGGATAACAATAGATGTCCCAACTCTTATACTATAGAGGGCTCTGTATGTAATCACCAAAGTCAGTGACGTCATGGTCTTAACACGGCAAGACGCGCACATTGGAAAGTATACAAAGTAATACATAAATAGAGCAAAAAAATGTCAAATTCATTGAGATCTAGCTCGCTCTCAGAGTCTTCGATCGAGAAAAACGCATCGATTTCTTCATCGGAATTTGTGACGGCAAATTCGAACGAATCTAATTCAGAAATTTTGCCATTCGTCGATAATATTGAACCGCTTGCTTCGCCCGATGAAATTGCTGAGTACGAAGCTGCAGTCGCAAAAGAACGGCGGGTTGAAGGCATGCTGCAAGATCGTTTTGATGCCCGTGTTGATGTTACTTCATGGTAAGATGTCATTCTTAGAGTGTTACTTTGATCTGAATCGTCTGCCGTTAGCTATGATAACTTTATGGAAACATACAATTTGGCCAATATTAAAGGGGTGAATGTGGCCATTGTTCGTTGGATCTTGTTGTCAACCCTCAAGAGTGCCGATGCTGCATGGAAATAGAGCAAACCGTGGTAAAATGTATCAGTTCGAAATCGATGAAAGGAAATGCATTTTGGATCACCCTGGCTTTAACGAAGTTTGCCTGAACGAATTTGTTCTTGAAGCAGCTTCGTTAGGTTTAAAGACCAAAGGTCATCGCATGATACAGACACTTCATTTTGTATTTCCTTTAAAACCTTAGTATAAATGTATATTATATATTGAAAGTTTGTCTGGATGTATTATTGGTTCTCTCAAATTGTGAAAATTTATCATCTGCAATATGTGTAAGTATATAATAATTGCAACTTGTGCTAACCTGACGCCGCTCTCTTGACGTTGTTGGTGTTTGTGATTTCTTCCAAATAGTAGGTACGGCACAAGGTTTGAGCCGTCTAGTCATACCACCCAAATGGAATAAACGCTCAAAACAATCATCCGAGAAGTGATTCGAACAAATCATAAATCGAATTTCGCGCGAACTCGGATTAAAATTTGCGCGCTTCGTCTGAACAAATTTAACCCAAATTCTTCTCAAAGACTCGTCGTTTGGGCTTTTATGTAATAAAATGCCTGTAATTCTATCAGACTTATTACTGCAATCTTGCACGACACAGCGTGTTGAAGGCATGTTAAAAAAATTGAGTTATACAGCCTTTTAAATCTCTATTTGTACATAGTGTTATATTGTAAACAGCCGCAAGTTAAGACTATGACGTCACAAGCACCTTCCTACTTGAAAATTCAAATATGGCGCATTTTAATGGCGGCTCTTAAAGTTCAAGTTTTATTGCTACGTAACTCGAGCAGCATTAAATACATTGCGCTAAAATTTCGCCAGAAGACATTTTTTTACATACACTATTAATCTATGAAAAAAAACGAGAGGCAAAATTTTCGTCATAGTACCACTTTAAAGTAAGTAGCTTGAAGTGCTTACTGCTTACTATGCTTGACATTGTAATGCATAGCTATAGGTCTATACTTGTATTTATGTAATGCTTATGGCTTACTCTCTTTAATGTTAGGAATATGATGGGAAGGGGCACATGGGGTGTTTATTCCCTGTTGAATTTATTTAAATTTCAAAGCATCCTGACCTGCATTAACCTATTAAATCGAAATTTACTGTATTCTATTTTACAATGTCAATTTTCAAACTCCATGTCCAATATTGTTGGCTCAATGAAATTTAGCCAGTAGTATAATGCAATGCTTTGGATTTATGCCATAACTAGTGTGCACATAATTATGCATGTTGTTGTGCCAAGTTTATAAAGTGTCATGTAACATAAGATCACAAAACATTTTATTCACAACTATATGTTTGAATTTGGGTAATCCTGCATATTTATACTGGAGATTTCTTCGGATTGAAGTCACTGGTAGAAGTCGCTACGTCCTTCCTGGAGAAATCTCCACTCTAATTCTGCTCACAGATTGTGATTTCAAAGTTACTTAATATACATAAAAAAATAAGAGCTAATTATTTAATATTACATTACTTCAGGATATTTCATAGATATTTAAATATTCCATGTAATATGTTGTAATATGTGCTCAATGTGACAGACAGAGAGGGCACATTTTTCATACATTTTGCTTGTTTATAAATACTAACTTTCTGAGCTATGCAATGTGTTGAATGTAAGAGCTATGCTGGACCAACCATGTTATTCATTAGAGTTTTTCATTTTCAAATTGCATGCCTAATATTGTCAATTCCCTGAAATTTAGCAAAGAAAACTGTAATTACATATTATTTCAGCCACAACAATTCCTTATTATTTCTTCCACACCTAGCTTGATAATGACTTTCATATGAAGTTGAAATATTGCTTTGAATCTTCTCTGTTGCTGTTATAACTGAGTTTACAAGATGATGTTTTTTTGAGTGTATGCTCTCATTTACAATCATGCACAGTGTGCCAAATTTCTAAATTTACCATAAAACATTATGATCACAAAAGGGTGGGTACACAGCAAAGCATTTCATTTACATAGATTTGATGTTACTGTATTGTCTTTACATGATTATTATTATCTCAAAATTACCCACTATACAAAAAGATATTAGAGCAACAGTTGTATATTGTAATTCTTTAACATATTTCATTGTATATTACATCACCATATTTTATTTTTGCATATGTGCATATGTGTATCCTGATCCTTATGTTTAGGAGTCATCACCCTTTGCACTTTGATTAAAGCTAGGAGGGCACATAGTATTAGCTATTAGGTACGTACTTATACTCCCCTTGAAAGCTGGTCTCATGAATTTGGTTGGGAAAGTATAGCACTGGCATTACCATGCTTAGATTCAATTATCTAAAAAAATATTTATGGATTGTTAAAGGCAACCCAAGGCTTGATGAATGTTCCCCTAAAGGCTTTTCTTTATCAACATAGAGTCAATAGTGATTTTATTCAATAGACTTTCTAATTTTTATTGCTTGTGTAGAACTAGAGGTGATGGTAACTGCGTGAACATTTCTTTGTTATATCTACGTATCTTTCTCTGCTGTTGGAGGAGTGATATTATCAACGAAAGAAGAAGAATAACATTTATTATTACTTGTTGCCTGCCTTTGGTACGATGATTACATCTTGAACATTTCTTTGTTATATCTACGTGTCTTTTTCTGCTGTTGTTGGACGAGTGGTATCAAGTGTGATTAATGGTCAAAAACTTGTGCTTCATTTGTGAGATATAAAAGGTTTCTTTGCGTTTCACGACAAAAAATGTGCCAAGCTTCTACCTTTTCAAAATCACTCATGGATTGGAATGATACCTTCCTGATTGTAAGTTTTGGCGAAGGTATGAAACTTGATAAATCTGATAATAGTAACGAAAATGTTTAAAGGTTATTGAAATTTTAGATTTTATATCATTGAAATTTGCGAAAAGTTTACAAACTAAGTAAAGCCAAGTTTTTTTTAAATTCTGTTGTCAAAACGCAGGAAATCGCATTTCCGACGGTCTAAAATATAAAATTTTCCGGGGGGCATGCTCCCAGACCCCCCCTACAGAGCTAGCGCCTTTGGCGCTAGGAGTGGTGCATCAGTCACGAAAATTGCTGGATCCGCCCCTGCATAAGACCTCCAAGACTCAACGATGCTGAAATCCTCGCAACATTTGAACGGATCCATTACACTATACAAAACAAGCTCCAAAACCAAGAAGATTACATCCACGTAAAGAATGAACTCATCCACATTGCTCAAAGCTACATTTCCTCATATACTCCGTCACCATCAGATCTCAAGAAACATCGCATACTAAAGGACATTAGGAATAATAAGAACATTATATTGTTAAAACCAGACAAAGGCAACGGAGTAGTCATCATGGACAGAGAAGTATACAATAGCTCATGTTTAAAAATTATTAGCGATAAATCCAAGTTTAAATTACTAAACAAAGACCTCACACTCTCTCGAGAAGCTAAACTACAGCGCTTTCTTAGGAAACTCAAAAAACAGGGCTCTATTGACAACAACACCTATTCCAAGATCTTTCCTTCAGGCTCACAACCAGCAAGGTTCTATGGCCTCCCTAAACTCCATAAACACGTAGACCACAGCACACCACCTCCACTAAGACCAATAGTCTCTTCCATAAACTCTTACAACTACAAACTATCGAAATACCTATACTTAGCCCTTTAGTTCCCAACGATTACACAACTAAAGACTCTTTCACTTTCGTCGACGAACTAAACAAACAAGACATGAACAGCAAATATATCGTCTCCTTTGATGTTAAGACCCTCTTTATTAACATTCCACTAACTGAAACAATAGACATCGCACTCGACTTATTACTTACACAACAACCTAACTTTCACGTCAACAGATACGACTTAAAACTTTTGTTCAACATCGCTACATCACAAACCCACTTTCTCTTTAACGACCACTTTTATGACCAGACCGACGGGGTGGCAATGGGTTCCCCACTGGCACCAGTACTTGCCAATCTCTTCAGGGGCTATCATGAAAAGAATTGGTTAACTAACTACGACGGACCAAACGTACTTTTTTACAGACGTTACGTAGATGATATTTTTTGTATATTTAACAACGAAAACGACGCTTCATTCTTCCTTAATTATTTAAACCCACAACACACAAACATTACCTTTACAGTAGAAAAAGAACAGGGCAATAAACTGCCTTTCTTAGACATACTTATCACTAAAGACACAAATTCAGACAAATGCATAACTTCCGTCTTTCACAAGAAAACATAAACCAGACTCTTAATGAACTTTTTTTGTTTTACACCACGTAATTATAAAACAGGACTTATAAAAACTCTCCTTGAACGCATTCACAGAATCAACAATACAACAAACGGCTGCGAAATTGACAAATATTAAAAATGCGCGTTATTATCGATAAAAAACATTTGATTCAAGGAAAAATAACGAGGTTCAACATGCAAACATAACTATTCAAGCATTTACAGAGTATTGGCAAACATAAATACTCTACCATTGGCAGAACATTGATAATTGGGAGAGGGGGGAAGTCATATATTCATATGTTATAATTCCTAAAACTAATTAATTTCAATGTAAAGTAGAACGGGCACAAATGAATAATAGCACACCCCAATTTTCAATACTCCGCCGCCCTTGAGTACTCCCCTCAATAATTGAGCTAGCTACGCCAACAAAAAACATGCGTACACCGTAACAGAAAAAATGGTCTAATTGTCCAGTGTAATGGTTTAAATGTCCACTTAATGCTTACTTTAAACTGGCAAGAGCCTTAATAAATTTTTGCAAGCTAATTCTATTGGTAGCAGTGTGCTGCAACCCAACAAAAACGGAATCAATAAAAAGAAATACATCCTTATGATCTTGTGGATAAGCTATAGAAAATACATAGTATGTTGCATAGAGCGTAAAAAGGACTGTTTCTAAAGAAAATGAAGTTGCGTCAACGAGTTGTCGTCCTTCGACGTCCAACAGTAGCCGGTCAGGCTTCAGTATGTTTTCACCAATAACCAAAACTCGTGGACAGGTGGTGCGGTTATTTTAATCGGCAAATCATCATCTTCCTAAAACATACACAAAAAAGAAAATGCTTCAGTGTTTGAAAGTTGCCTCGATGAATGCACTGTATGGAAAACGTTCCTAGTAAATTAAAGAAAAACATTGACACAAGCGTTGCATGCAATTCACTAAGAAGTCTTTATCATTGCTTACCAACACCATTTCCATCAGGCTGTTTTCAGACGTTTTCTTGGTTAGCAAATGGACTAACAGCATCATTTAACTTGCTGTTTCAAAGTCTGCTTAAAAGTTAACAAAACTTAGCATTTATAAAATATTATATTTTCCTTAAATATTGTGATAATAGATTAACCACGCGGAAAACATATAGGGATGACAGAGTCATCGCTACACGTTGTAATTTATAACACTCTGTAACTAATGGCGAGAGACTTTCCAGGTGGGAAACTGATACGTATTAAAGAAACAATTGCCCAACATAAAATTCGAAAAAAAGGCTTTATTTCTAATTTTAGGTTGAGGAATTGTTTTGTTATATTTAGTATATACGTTTTTTAACTTCCTAAATGTATGTATCACCTGTCTTTACTCCACACAAAACCAAAACACTGATATCCGCTTCATTTCATATAAAACAGTCATTCAACTAGATAGAGAAAGTTTGGAAATCAAAGCGATATTTGACATTATAATATATGCAAGATGCACTTCACTTACTTTTTGATTTTGCAATATAGAAACTGTTGCTTCTTCTACGCCGGAATTAACGAGTTTCTCCCTCAAATTTTTGTCCATCCTGCTCAAAAACAACACAGCAAGCAGTTTCATTTACAGAAAACAATGCTATAAATGTCTTTCCAAGCTACCTAAGGTTTTCAATCAAACAAAGCAAAAAAAAATAATTACAGTCGTATTTTTGAAAAACCAATGAGCAAAACCATCATTGAAATTCCTGAGAAGACAATAAATTGTGTTGATGGATTTAATATAACAAAAAAGGTGCTACAGCAAAAGATAAGAGATTCATGTAAGAGATAAGAGATAAAGATAAGAGATAAGCTGTAAGAGTAAAAGATAAGAGATAAGCTGCTACAGCAAAAGATAAGAGATTAATGTTGTTGATGAAACTAATTCAGTCGGGTACGTTGTCCTCGGACGAATTAAAAACGTCATTTCATTCGATGCGTGACGAATTATCTGTTTATGAGGGCATGATTTAGAGGGGAAATCGTATATTGATACCAGAATCATTCGTAAGACGTGTTTTGAAATTAGCTTATGGGAGTGTCATGTTAGTATCATCGGGAAAAAACAATATCTTAGAGAAAAATATTTTTGGTTGGGTATGGATAAAGATATTGAAAAGTTAATTCAACATTGTGAAGCATGTGCCATTCCTCGTTCGTTGAATTTCATTACACCATTGTAGCCAGTTTCATTTCCTAAGAAATCATGCATAAAAGGCGGGGTAGACATTGTAGGCCCAATTGAGGATAAATATTTAGTGACTTTCATCAATTATTACTCCTCTTTTCCCGAGGTAATATTAACAAGGGACATTGGTGCGAAAAACATAGTAATAATCCGTTTAGACATGTTTGTTTGCAAGACATGGATATCCAGAAGAAATAGTCTCTGATAATGGGCCGCAATTTATAGCAAATGAGTTTATAGCAATTTATGAATCAATATGATATAAAAAATGTGCGTAGTTCTCCATATTACCCAAGAAGTAATGGAAAAATTGAAAGGTCCCATAGATATTTAAAGAAAAATTTCAATGTTTCGAATTATGTTCTGATTTGATTTGTATGTCACCGGAATCGGAAATTCAAAAACTAAAAGCCATTTTTGCTGGGACATCAAAGTTTGTCCCACGTCAGTTGAAAGCGAAATTGCCCTAAAAATTGCCAGTGCACAAGTAATTTTTTGAAACATTCAATACAGCATAAATAATTTTTAAACTCAAACATTGTATAACCTAAAGACAAAATAAAAAGGTATAATTTCTTGAGTTTTTTAGATATTTTAAAGGGTATTCTTTCTCAAATACTAAACTTTTTTTAAGAAGGGCCATTTATTGATAACCGATCTGCTTCCTTGTCAATTTTCCAGTAAAATGCTTCGTCCTTAAAAGCAACACCTGTTACTACATGTGGTAGAGGAAATTAGAACAGTTTATGGCTGTACAAACAATTTGTCAGTCATAAGTTGCTTATTTTCTTCCTCAATATACTGTTTTATAGCACGCGAAAAATGTTTGAAGAAGTTGACTTATTTGCTCCCATCGAAAATCTTTTGCTGTTTTCAAACCATCGAGTAACTCAGTAACACTATCCAAGGAAACAGATCAGTTATCAATAAACAGACTATGAATTTTAATTAGCACGAATATATGTACTTAGCATTAATTTTTGAACTTAGCATAAATATATTTGCACATAGCATGAATGTTTGCACTTCGCATGAATATTTGCAGTATAGCAGTTTTGTCCGCTTCGGCGCCCCATACGTGCCCCATAAGCGACGATGCTGGTATCAAAAAACAGTGCTTATTAGCTAGTCAAATCGATATAGAATGTAATCCAAGCTGTCCACATCGTAATTTCCTCTTTCTCAACGCCTTTGAATATCAGCTACGTAACCATAGGCTCATGCTAAAGAAACTTTCTCCCCTCCTAATTTCAATCAACACTTAACTATAGTATTCATGCGACGATAAAAAATTTCAGAAGTATTTAATATTCAAAACGCGAAATCTTTTTAAAATTTTAACAATGAAACATGCTGAAAACGTGTGTCATATACGGTTACCGAAGAAGTGCAAGAAAAGGAAGCAAGGATTGGGACGAGTCAAATCTCTTAAAACTGCGTATGGGCGAGATGTTCTCGCCACGATAGCAGTTACTGGATGACAC